ATGAATATCTGTCACACTGGTTCTGTCCATATCCTTAATTATTATTATCTAGTTACATATAAAACTTAATTTCTAGTGCACCTACTCAGACATTTTCTTACCACCCAAAGGTAGACTGGGAGAAAATACCTGTGCAATTAAGTCCGCCATAGTTAATGAAATGTTGTTTGTGCAAAAAGAATAAAATTTAAAAAAATGCACCTGTGACCTTAAATTTTTATTATTATCGTAATATAAACTCTGATTTTGAATAAGATGACATTTGGTTGGTAGGTTGCCACTTTATCATACTGTTAAAATGGTCTTGTATACTGAATGATCAACTTTAGTTAATTTATTAATTTGAATTTGCATTGATCAGTAGCATGATTGGCCTGGATTTATAATTGTAGGGACATTTTCAGAACATAAATTTAATTCGTGCGTATGTATTTATTTAATATCTTATATCCAAACAAAACTGCACTATCATTTAAATTGGTAAGCCGTAATTGGAGACCAAAAATTAAAACTATGAAAAAATAATAATATAACTTACAAAGAGTATGCCAACATATTTAAATAATTGCATGCCAACATGCCATGCAATTATTTAAATATGTTTTTTTATCACGTAGAAATATGTAGTCCGTTGGAGCAAGGTCTGGCGAGTACGGAGGATGACGTATGGTCTCAATATTGTAGGTAGGGTAACGTTAAATCATGTCGCTAATTCCTGGGTAGATTGATTCGGATCGGCTTGCATCATCTCCTTCAATTCAGCGTTATTCACCTATGTGAGCGGTCTTCCACGCTGTTCGTTCTTCAAGACGAAGTTTCCATTAGGAAAGCGTTTAAACCAAAAAAAACACAATTGAAAGTCGAAAATCGAATGTGGCATATTTTAAAAAGAAGAACGGGTTTCATAGGTATCACGTGAAATAAGTTTAACACGAAAATCTTACACCATGAAGGTTTTATATCAATTCAAAGTATTTATTTTTAGTTTATTAAATTCCAATAATTAATCAAGTTTTCTTAATTTTATCCCACCCACCATGAATGCTGGGTACGACGATGCACATATTACCATCGTACAGTTCAATTATATCTTAAAATAATGTACGTCATAATGTATTTAAGGCCATTTTGTGGCTCTACTCTCAGAGCATACTCCCCGCAGCAGGCAACAGAGTTAAATCATGTATTCAGGACAGATAAGAGTTACTGTTTTTTTATGAATTCTGATGTGTGAACACAGTACGTGTTGTAAAATATCATTATAAAGATATGGTTTTGATTGTGTTCACTTTACTGCAATTTTCATAGACACGCCTTGTTATTTTGTGTTAGCATTTTTTTTAAATGATCTGCTATTGAATTTAATTAGAAACATAATTTAGAACAAAATATTTTTATTGTGTGATATAACTTTTACACAATAAAATAACAAGTACACTACCGACGTGAACCCATCACGTCGGTAGTGTACTGGTCAGGATTCAAACCCACGACCTCTTGATCGCAAGTCCATGCCTTAATCACTAGGCTACCGCTGCTTTGGCATATATGTATATCAATCATCAATAGCCTTTACTAGTCCACTGCTGGACATAGGCCCCTCCTAAGGGGTTTTGGCCTACTATACCACGCTGGCCAGACGGGTTACTCCTATAGTCGGCTCTTACGTCACCCTTGAGATGAATATTATTAATAAGAATTGAAATTAATGAAAGTGCAGTCCACACATCATTTCAAAATATAGCAACATCACGAAAATACGAATTAGAATTCGTCGTTTGTGACAATTCTGAGAATGACTAATTTACATATTGCATGTTTATTTGTAAATAAAAATAAAAATACTTTGTATGTACGTACCTTATGTAGGTATTTTTTTCTTTTATTTCATAAAATTAAATATCCTTTTGATTAAAATAAGAATAATTTCTTTGCATATAAATCCTTTCTAAATAAAAATATCGAGTTCATAAACGATAGAGTTCATTCAAGCGGAGACAAAAGAAAAATGTATTAAATAAACATTGATTATCCCATGGATGGATAAACATTGATTATCCCATGGATGGGTAGGATCCCATGGATTTGGAAGCAGGAATCATAGGGGGCAAATGCTGGTCAACTTCCTCGAACGGGAGGGGCTGTTTTTGATGAATTCTTTCTTCAAGAAACAGCCCCAAAGGAAGTGGACGTGGCAAAGCCCCGACGCTATGACCAGAAATGAGATCGATTTCATCATGACGGATAGAAAGCACATATTCAGAGACGTCTCAGTGATCAATAGGTTTAATACCGGTAGTGATCACCGACTTGTCCGGGGCTCTCTGAATATCAACTTTAAGGCGGAACGTGTCTGTTTGATGAAATCCAGGCTCCGACCAACTCGGCTCCAAGCCATGACAGGATCTGAAACGTTCCAGTCAAAACTGGAAAACCGATTCGCTGCCGTGGAAACCACAATCGACGTAAACCAGAACCTCAAAAATGTGGTTCAGATCCTCAGGGAAGAAGGTATGAGATTTTGTGAAATGCAGCGTAAGGGCAGGAAGTCGAAGCTTTCAGAAAGGACCCTAGGGCTGATGAAGAAACGACGTGAAAACCCACATGTCACTTTGTCGGCAAAGCGGACTCTAAACCGAGAGATCAGTAAACTCGTACGACACGACCTCCGGTGCTCCAATACTCTTTCAATTGAAAGAGCGATCGAGCAAAATCGGGGGTCAAAAGTGTTCGTACAATCTCTTGGAAGAAGCCACCTGACAAAGTTGACTACAGAAAGTGGAGAAGTCGTTGCTTCGAAGCCGGCAGTCCTTTTGGAAGTGGAAAGCTTCTATGGCCGGTTATACGCTTCGCATGCATCTCGACCTGATCCCGAAAATGAGGACTCTAGAGCCACATTAACACGTCACTACACCGAAGACCTGCCAGAAGTTAGCATTGACGAAATCGAGATGGCTCTTGGACAGCTGAAAATGGAAAAGCCCCTGGAGAGGATGGCGTTACAACAGAGCTGCTGAAGGCCGGGGGTAAACCCGTACTAAGGGAGCTCCAAAAGCTCTTCAACGCTGTCCTGTTTGAAGGGAGAACTCCAGAAGCGTGGAGTAGGAGTGTGGTCGTCTTGTTCTTCAAAAAGGGTGACAAGACCAGGTTGAAGAACTATCGACCCATATCCCTTCTAAGCCACGTCTACAAGCTGTTTTCGAGAGTCATCACGAACCGTCTTGCGCGAAGACTCGACGAATTCCAACCACCGGAGCAAGCTGGGTTTCGGAGCGGATATGGCACCATAGACCACATCCACACAGTGCGGCAGATTATACAGAAGACCGAAGAATATAATCAGCCCCTGTGTCTAGCATTCGTGGACTATGAGAAAGCCTTTGACTCGATCGAGATCTGGTCTGTTCTGGAGTCCCTGCAGCGTTGCCAAGTAGATTGGCGATACATCAAAGTGATGAGATGTCTCTACGAAGCCGCCACCATGTCCGTCCAAGTACAGAATCAGCAAACAAGGCCCGTACCATTGCATCGAGGAGTGAGACAAGGGGACGTTATTTCCCCGAAATTGTTCACAAATGCAATGGAGGACATGTTCAAGACGCTGCACTGGAAAGGGCGTGGCATCAATATCAATGGCGAATACATCTCTCACTTGCGATTTGCAGATGACATCGTCATCATGGCAGAGACGTTGCAGGACCTACAGCAAATGCTGAATGACTTAGCTGACACTTCTGTACGCATCGGCCTACGGATGAACTTGGATAAAACCAAGGTCATGTTCAACGAACATGTACTACCGGAACCGATTGCGGTACACGGTGCCGTTCTCGAAGTTGTTCAAAATTATGTGTACCTCGGGCAGACATTGCAGTTAGGTAGAAACAACTTCGAGGACGAGGTGAACAGAAGAATTCGGTTGGGTTGGGCAGCGTTTGGGAAGCTACGTCGAGTCTTCTCATCGTCGATCCCACAGTGCCTTAAGACGAAAGTCTTTAATGAGTGCGTCCTACCCGTCATGACATACGGAGCTGAAACGTGGACACTTACGGTACGGCTGGTCCACAAGTTCAAAGTCGCTCAACGTGCTATGGAAAGGGCTATGCTCGGCGTTTCTCTAAGGGATCGCATCAGAAATGAGGTGATCCGGCAGAGAACTAAGGTCACCGACATAGCGTACCGGATCAGCAAGTTGGAGTGGCAGTGGGCTGGCCATATTAGCCGCAGAACCGATAACCGTTGGGGAAAACGAGTTCTTGAGTGGAGACCGCGTCTCGGCAAACGTAGTGTAGGACGCCCACAGGCCAGGTGGAGTGACGATTTGCGCAAGATGGCTGGCAGGAGCTGGATGCGAGAAGCCCAAAATCGATCTAAGTGGCGTGCAATGGGAGAGGCCTATGTCCAGCAGTGGACTGCGGTAGGCTGATGATGAAACATTGATTCTCCTCGTTTCTTAAAATAGGTTACAAAGTAAGCTGCCCTGCCTATGGAAGCGTCTAATCATTGTTAGATTATAAAACACTGAAAATTTCGAAACAGGTGAAATCCTTCCAACAAAAATACAACTTCTATAAGTTACTACGTGATCTATTTAAAAGGAAATAATTTGTCACATTTAATGTCCCAAAGTGATAGACCAAAATCAATAGAAAAAAAGGTTTTTATTAGTAGTTTATAGGGTGATAATAGTTAGCAACCGGCCAAGTGGTTTTTATTTGGGTTTAAACCCGTTTTCTCCAAAAAAAAACAGGTCTAAACCCATTTTAACCCAATAGGTTTAAACCGTCTGCTCAAGGGTAACCACAAACGTTTCAACATGTAGCACATTTTTAAGCATTTTGTTCTGAAACATTAACAATATTATAAATGATTGCTTCCAAAAACAAAATTTTCTTATTGCCAAACACATGTCCTCAAGTGTAGCAACACTATCGTGTTTTTGGCATAGAGATAGAGGACAGAAGCGAGCCACGATCTGTTGATGTTGGTTGGAGAAAAGAATGGTATATTTCTGTCATTTGGCACAAAAAATTATGAGCTGGCAGCACTGGGCGTAGTCAACAGTCACTTCTCTCTGACTAGTAGTATATAGTTATCTGTGGTCAGTTCGATTCGAGTTCGAAAGCTCAACTCAATTTGCTTTCCGCTTTCCGAAAAATTGTGCACGTGTCGCTGTAAAAGTTAAAACTGTGTATAATTTACCAATTAACTTTTTCTTTCTCTTTACTGGAAAAGTAAGGGAAGGAGTAAATTTTCTCTAGAAACAGTTACTTAAAACCGTCAAAATTAGTAAGGTATGTAATTTGTACACTTATTTTATTCAGCTCCAATGGGCAGCCATGTTGTTTCCTAAGTAAAGCAGATCGGCAACGCGGGAGACGCTCAGTATTTTATGATTATGTTTTGATATATTGGATATTGTGTAGGTTTTAAACATTAAGTATATCCAAGTTATAACCACCAAGTTGTTTCTATATTACAAAATTTGTTTCGGTGACATAATTGTATGCGTTGTAAATTATTAGACTTCAATTAACATGCTTTCAATAATAAATTATCAATCAAATGATATTGCTTATAAAGTATGGGTCAAACTTAAATGATTCAAGCATGTTGATTTGTCGTTAAGGTGATGGCCTGAAAATCGATTTTTTATTACATTTCAATCTCTACTTTGATTCCCACGCGGGACCAAAAATAAGCCGATAGGTACACGTTGAAGCATTTATAGATAAAGCCACATTGCGCGACGAAGATGGACGTAATTTTAATCACAATATTGTTACCACGCTTACGCTTTTTTAAATATAATGCTATTTTTATTACAGAAAATGGTTGGATCCCGGGTGTACGTGGGCGGACTGCCATTTGGCGTCCGCGAAAGGGATTTAGAAAAGTTTTTTAAAGGCTTCGGCAGAATAAGAGACATCCTTATCAAGAATGGCTACGGATTTGTCGTAAGTGCAATTCCCTTTACTGATTTCAGATCCTCACTGCTTTTCACTTCATTAATCGTATTAACTAAAACTGCAATAATCTTACAAGGATTTCTATAATTATGATTGTGATGTTAGTTTCAAGTAACTAGACAGACCTGTTGGTCTAGTGGTGCGTGATTTTGACTGCTGAACAAGAGGTTGTTTGTTAGATTCCCACTTGAGACAAATATTTGTGTGATGAGTGAGATCATTTATTGTTTACAGGTGTAATTTATCTATAATTTCAATATTTGGAACTGTATAAGCATGTTTATCAACAGTCTGATTACCATAGCGTAGGCTCTGCCTAATTTGGTATCAGACAACACTATTATGTGATGTTTCAGGTTTTATTATCATTTTTAGGGATTTAATAAAATCACAATCACCTGTGATAAATTATGCGGTTTATCACAGGTATTATCATATAATCACACCTGTGACTAATTTACACAATCAGTGCATTTATTATTATAATTACACTAACTCCAGACTCGCAAATTAAAAAAAAAAATGTCTTTACAATCACAGCTGGGATGGTTGTGTATAAAATCAATAATTTCATCATATGATTATGATTAAGAAGTAGCAAACATTTCCATGTCTAATTTTTTTATGTTGCCATATTTTTAGGTTTTCAAGCTAAATTTAAAGTTTTCATTAATTACATCATTTCATTGATTTTTATAATATTGTCTGCAGTTATTCAAACATTTCAATGTCGGTTATAAGTTAGTGTATTGATTGTTAGAGGTCCTTTTTTTACATAAAGTTCAATGCTTTAGATATGAGTATTTTAATATGTTAGACAAGATAAATATTTTATATAGCATAATGAATGTTAGTAGAACCTGATCTTATTTCTTTAAAATATATCTTATTTTATGCAAGAAATAATTACTTTTTACTGCATATTCCTTGCTATTGTTCACTTAACTCCTCACCCTCACGTGCCGCTACACTGTACGGCGCTTAACGGTGAAGGCACTTTACTTGAGATAATAAACTACTGTAACTTTGAGACTTCAGCTATAGATGTCTTTATAGGTTGTCTATATGTGTCTATGAATATTTACAGGAATTTGAAGATTATCGAGACGCAGATGATGCTGTTTATGAATTAAATGGAAAAGAATTACTTGGAGAGAGGTAAGAACCCTTAGATTTTGTATCAGGCAGCACCAATTTCATTGACTATTCTGAATTTTGCTGTTTGTATATTTTGTTCAAGTGCCATACCCCTTTATTTAGTTTCAAAAGTAAAGTAATAGCTGTCAAGATAAACATTTAATAACTGTTTTAATAACATTTTTTTTATCAGCCGGCTCCACATGTGAATGGAATTATGAGTTTTATCATAGATGACAAAAATGGAAGAGATTTGTATGAATTGTATGGCAATGAATGCTTTCATATCTGCTATCATTAATAGGGTTTTGGCATTGAATGTCTTATCTTTCTTACAAAATGTTCTTTAATGGGCCTTGTATGAATGTATATGGACTAGTTTGACTGCATTGTTGCTCTATTGCCATGTCTGCTTACCAATTGCTATTCCAGAACAATTCAAAAAAACTTATATCAGTCTCAATAGATGTCTGTCAATGTGGCCAAACAAATGTACATGACAAAATTTTGCTTTCTAATAATAATCTACAATTCATGTAAACTTTGACAATGTATAGTCATACTGACGTTATTACAACATCTGCAATTCTCTCAACTCTCAAATAATTTGGGTTTTTAATGTGAATTGGTAAGCTGCCAATCTGTGTATATCCTAGCGATTAACCTTAACTTGAAGAAATGTCGGGGTCCTACTACATGTTGATATATTTTAGCGAAGGACATTTTAAATATCCCAATCAACGGACACTCACATAAACATAAGCAGTTAATCGTTAGGGTATACAATGACTGAGTGTCGAACGGATCGGCGTGGATGTGGTGCGAATGGGGCGGGCAGTGCTAACAGTACCGACGGGTTGCTACAGGGTGGTGGTGGAGCCGGCCAGGGGCATCGACCGCAGCGCCGACCGTTACCGCCGCGACCGCTACTACGAGCGCGACCGCGCCCGGTCGCGATACGAGTGAGTGTCGCTATGTTGTAGGGTGTCGGTGGAGCGAGCGCGCGGCATGCCGCGGGGCTCGGACCGCTGGCGCTGCCGGGATCTGCCGCCGCCGCCGCCGCGCCGCCCTCCGCCGAGACGCGAACCGTCTGTATTTAACTCACACGGGCATGTTAAGCAACAACATACCCTCTTTTTGCCGACTCATTTTGGCCGTTCTTCCAAATTTTACCCACTTTTTTGGTAGCATTGCAGCCCAAATCTTACAACATGCAACTTCTAGTTAGCATGATGTATGAACATCCTATTCGACTATTTTAGATTTCCTGAGATTATTGTAGTTATTTATTCTGCTGCATATTAAGGCAGTTTTTAATATCAAATGAGAACATTCCTACTAATAGTTATCGACGGTAATAGCATTGCTAATATAGTCCTTCTACTATTTGCCGACAAAAATTACTTATAATAATGAAAACCCCCAATGTGTTTAGAGTGTGTTAGTCGACAAATTGAAATGATCATTGGATTTGGTACCTTCTAAAAATATGTTCTGTTAAAAACAAAAACTATATACTTAAAAGTATTTAGACTATCTATTATTTATTGAAGTAAAACGAAAATAGAAAAACTCCTAAATCAGCCTCGTTTTTATCTAAAACATATAAATCTAAAGAAAACTGATAATGCAGCCTTTTTACTTATATACAAGTATTTGATACTTTGATTTGACTCTTAAGTATTATCTATGAAATAGAAATGCTTAAATAGTAAATAATCGACTAACACACATTCTCAACCATATATTTCAATTGTAGTCCAAAATAAAATTAATTAATACTAGATTAACTTTTCCATTGTGCTTACCAAAGCTCAATTCTAATTTCATTCCATTCCACTTCCTGGCATGTCTCACAATAATGCTACTTAGGCTTCTGCTCTGCTCACCTAGCCAACCTTTCCTCCATTTATAAAGGACCATTCTTGAGTCCAAATGCGGAAATTGGAGTCCACTCCCTTCTATACTACTTAGGTCCACTTGTCATCCGAGTGTATTTTTAGATCTTTTTGTTCTAAATTTTGCATTGTATTTGACATTCATCCATATTTGAACTTACATAAATCCAATTTGTTTTTGCATAACTGCCCTGTTAAATGCATTTGTAATCTTGTGTTGTGAATATTTTTGCTACTACTTATTTTAATTTGATTTTGCTAAATTTTTTTATATACACACTACTTTTTTATGCATTAACTCTGAATTAGACATCTAACCCTAAGCTTGGAAGTAGAAATTGGCTGATAACCTACATAGGTTATGTAAATATATAAACTATAATGTGAGAATAAAATTAGATTCTTAATGTACTTTATATTTAAAAATATCATTTCTTTTTCTTTAGGGTTTCTTATTGGCTATGTAACAATCTTTTCATAGATGTTAATAAAAAAAAACAATTAATTGGCAACAATTAATTACATTAATTTAGAAAATATGTAAAATAGTATTATATTAAAACATCTCCTGAAGTTTTATCAATAGTCACAGAAAAAGGAAGTAGTGTTTATAGTATTTGTAATATTTGATGTAATTTTGCAGGAATTATCTGTAAGTAAGCTTTTTGACATTGTGTTAATTTTCAGTAGGTAATATGCATATAATTTGAACATTATTTGCTGCTTGTTATATTGTTGGTCTACATGTAACACCTCATATAAGCAAACTGTTACTTTTCAGATGTATCAAAACTATTTAAAAAGGTGGTTTAATACACTTGCTATATTTTTTCTATCATGATGAAATAAAGATGATGGAATAAAGTGTCACCACCCCTATTCATCCCGTGGGTGTCGTAAGAGCCGACTTAGGGAGCAATCTACGTAGGACAACAGCAAGGCAAAGAGAAGGAAAACTTGTAACATCCCAACCCGTCTTGCCTTTCAGCAGTGGACTATTAAATGCTCTTGATGTTAATTTTTTTGTCTTTCAAAACTTAAAAAATTGGATATATTTTATATAAAAAATAAAAATTTAAGTGAGTAGTTATGAGGTGTCACATCTAAAACTATATTAAAAACGCACTATAAATAAAAGTTAGAGTTCGAGAATTACCGATTAAATAATTTTGATTATCTGGGTGACAGAACATACAAGCACAGTTAGGCATATAAAACATCCTATTTTACTTATATGCTAAGTAGTATTTGACAAAGCATGTTTGTTTAGTATATTTTTATTATTTCTCATAATGAATTACGACCAAAGACCCAGAACCTTGTATTTTGCCTCCTAAACATTTGACATTGAGTTAGAATTCTTAAGATTGAAAACTAATATCTAAATTCATTATCAATCCAGATGAATATAAATATAGAATGTTAACCGTCTTGTTGTTAACCATGTACAAAACACAATGACAACATCAAATAAAACAAATAATTCTCTTTCACAGTGACTACAACAATTATAGATACGGACCGCCGACGCGCACCGAGTATCGACTAATCGTCGAAAATCTGTCTAGCCGCATTAGCTGGCAGGTAAGAAATCTGTGGACACACGGCACGGGCCCATCATCATACCATCACCTATCACCCAGGGTCTGGACATGAGCTTCTTCACGGTATTTGAGGGCTGGGCGGACCGACATCACCCGGATGGACCACCATACATTACATGAACGTGTCAATAATCGGATCGAGGATGCTACTGGACTTATCATGGATCTGGACTCTTGAATAACTAGAGGAGGTGCTTATAAATTCGACAAAGCAATAACAAAAAGGACACGAGGACGTAAAACTGGACCCGCAGGAGTGTGCGACGTATCCAAATGGCTATAGCGAGGAACTGAGTACTGCCCTGACAATGGACAAGCAATCCACTGATAGTCTGAAGACCACAAAGGACACGGACCACTTGCGGAAATTACTACCGGACCACGACTGTACGGCCTCAAGGCAACACCACCCTGTCTGCTTTACTAATAAAACAAAATACAAAATAATTTCTCAAATAGTAACCATCTTGACTTCTTAGCTTAACATACATACTTAAAATGTCACAATTAGCACTGTGCATAACATTCATTATTCTAAAGACAGTAACTGTATTTTATAGGTGTTGTATCAAACTTACTTACGAGCTTTATAGATAATTTTTAAAAACAACAGAAGGTGGCGTAACGTGGCCAGAGAGTCCTCGATGTAGCGTGTGCGATGTGGTCTGTGGCGATGTTAGGCTCGGTCCCGGCGCAGTGGTGATGCCGCCCCTCCCCCCGCCCGCCCCTCGCAGCCGGAGCGCCCGGTGGCCCCGCCAAGGTAAAGTCGACAGGGGGGCACAGACAAAGGAGCCGTTTCTCGTTATGTGCAATCTCCCATTTTAAATTCATTTCATTGTTAACTTTTAAGTTCAACATACTTTGTCCACAATAGTGTCTAGAATACAAGTAACTTAATTTTTTACTACAAACACTACTGTGGAAGTTCATTACAATCATTTTTTTCGTACTTTATGTATTTTATTGTCTATTTTAGCTTGATCAGCTTTTCGTATGTGGTGTTTTGGTATGGAATCATTGTTTACGTCACTGATGGATGCGTGTCTACATCACAGATGAATGTGTGCAGATGGCCGGAGACCAGACTATGTGCTTCTAAGAAAAGTCGTGAGTGACACCAATAGAGGGACATTTTGAAAGTTATTTAGACAAAACAGAAAAGTTAAATATATCAGAGACAAAAGGTTCCATAACAGATGACGTATCTAATTTGGCAGTATAAACTATGCAGCCCTAAGGCGTTCGCCGTATAAGGTAGTGTGAGACTGACCAGAAAACATAGAGGTAGACCAGAGAATGTGGCAGAATTAAATGAAATGGTAGGCAACCTATGGATTGAAGTTCAGATTGCAGGAAATCCAATGAAAGCCAGACGTGGACAAGATGCATTCAGGCTGTACTTGTGGAATTGATGCGCACTTTTGCAGATGATCAGATGAAGAAACCACAGAAAAGGGTAGGAAGGATAACTGAAACCTGAGGGAGGACCTCTAAGGAGACAGAAGATCACGATGCTTTTAGTAAACAATGATAATCCAATGATACAAAACACATACGAGAAAGCTGTGAATAGCATACCTATTGTTCATCTTTATTTTATACTATTCATACTGTTCAATGCATTAAAAAATCAAGTTTCCCGAGAATGTTCTCATGATGAAATCGCATTTTTACCATCTTTCGGGGCTGAAAACCTTGATGATATTACAATAATCTGATGAGGACTTTTAGTAAATATATATAGGAATTTCATTCAAAAATAAATTTAAGGTTAAAATTAACATATTGAATCGGTTTACAGGACTTGAAGGATTATATGCGTCAAGCTGGTGAAGTTACTTATGCTGATGCACATAAACAACACCGGAATGAAGGGTGAGAGTTTAAAAATGTATAAATAGTAGTTGTAATAAATAATTACTTTCAGTTAATATCGTATATTTCAATTACAACTAAGTGGAATGAACAAGTAAAACACTCCTGCTAGAAAGTGGTTATCGGTACTTAAAACCATAGCTGTAGTAAATTCTTCTGTACGACATTAGCATTTCATTGAATTCTTATTAGAAAACTGGCTGCTAATGTGAAATTAACTGGGGTGGGCAATAAACTAAACACTTTAGTGGGTGAGATTTCTATCGGGTCAGTATCCTTTTCACTAGTAGACTGAAACAGTTCGAAAAAATATATATTCCTACAAACCAATAAAGTTGTACTCAATTTTATGATGATACTATACATTTTACCATCTTTCGGGGCTGAAAGCTCTTGCTGATAATTTTTTAACTGATAAAAAAATCCTCCTCATAAATTAAATAGCAAAAGAAACATGAACTTGACAAAATCCTATTTAATTTCAGTGTGGTAGAATTCGCTACACATTCTGATATGCGTGCGGCTATCGAGAAGTTAGATGGAACTGAGCTCAACGGGCGCCGGATCCGTCTGGTTGAGGCAGGCCGCTCGTCGCGTCGTAGGACACGCTCGTCTTCGAGCCGCAGCCGCAGCCGCTCTCGCACACGTCGCAGCCGATCCAGGTAATCTTGACTCCATTAAATTTTACAACATAATTCGTGTTGATTTTATCAACAACGCATGTTGGTGTTAAACACAATAAAAATTGTTGTAACTAAATTATAGTGAAGTTTGAAAACATTAATGCACATTTCAGAATTTATAAAGCTTAAATAAATATACCTATTACTAATAATAAAAAAAGAGTAGCACAGTAATTATTTTCACAACCAACCAGATCCATTACCATACTCATTGCTGTTGCAGCAGATAGCTGTCATTTTGGAATCATCCTTTTAAGTACATTTTTTACTTACATTTGCATCATCGGTTTTAGTGTAATCACATGAGATGAGTGTTTTAGTTGGATTTCCAAAAGTATTTTTATATCTTCAAGATTCCTATATAATACTATTTTTCCGTTTATTGCTTAACTGTAAAACTTAACATTCCTATAATATATCGCCACCTATAGCAATGTGTGTCAAGTTAGTCCTTATGTTATTCGCTTTTTGAAGTAAATAAAAAACATGTTCATGATGATACTATACTATTTACCATCTTTCGGGGCTGAAAGCTCTTGATGATAAAATTCCAACTGAGAAAACCTCTCAAATAGAATCCCTCTTCATTAAATCACGACAGCAACTCACAGCTATATGCTTTTACAGATCTCGTTCCCGTCGCTCGTCTCGCAGTCGCTCCCGCTCCAAATCCCGTCCGAAGAGCAAGAGCCCCGTGGCCAAGTCACGTTCAAGATCGCCTTCTAAGTAAGTTTACACATTACTTCTTCAGACGCGATTTAGTTTTGTAATATATCTGGATGTTTAGAGTGTAAACTATCGTCTAATGTAATTTATTTAATCATTGCTGATGTAATATCATTAGAATATTTTTAACTTAACAAGTATCCAGGTATTATACAAAATGAAATCCTCAAAGTAAAATGATCATCATGTATAGTTTAACATTCAATTGTCTCACATAGTCAATTAGTTCCAATCAAAATCAGTTAAATCATTTTTTATTACAAACAACCAGTCTTGGAGCAGGCTATTTATTTCTATAACTACTAGTATTATTGAAGCTAAGTCTAATGGAGCCTACAATGCACCAATACTTAATGTTTTTCTAAGTAGTCTGCTGAAATTTCAAAAATAAGTTTTCCCTAAAATAAACTCAAATTTGCTTGCATGCAATTTCTTTCTCAAATGCTCCAGTAATAAATGCAAATCAACAATTAAAATATGCATGAATATGTATAAAATTAACCTAGTGTTCATTTGGCTAGGTGTGTTATAACTTGCGCTGAGCAAAATTTAAAATCGTGAGTACTTAGTGTATAGTTTCAATCTAGTAAATGTTACAATTAGCACAGAAGACATAGAGCACGAAGTTATTTCGAATCATACTCGAGTTCCACTGCTTATTCGTTTACTATATCGATCACTTCTATATGTCGACACTCATTTGAGAAAAAATATTTTTCATTATTTAGAGGTGAAAGTTTGACAGTGAATTAACTTAAAATATGGTAGTCCTTTGTTTTTCTCTTAAACAATCACCACACCAACAGTTACTGAATTAAACTGACCTGTAATAAATGCCATATCCTTGTGCACATATGCAACTACCAATATCCCAAACAGATGTTATTGTAAGTGTGTATGTTGCAAACGCGCATATTCATTAATTGTATCCGTAAATAACATATTGGTCTATGTCTACTGTAATATTAGTGAATATTTTTTTATCGTTAATGTGACACAACTACTGTTGTAGTAGTAATTGCATCATGAGCTATGTGTATTGTCACGTCAACGTCTCATTGTGATGGTTTTCTGTCAAAGAACGCAAGTTACGTGTATGGCTCTGTCAATACTGAGTGAATGTGTTGAATTTTACAAGTATATAGAAGTTAGATTTTTGTCTTGTGTGCATTTCTTTTTCTATTGTGCGCTTTGACGGATGACTATGTGGTAGCAACTGCGTATAGTAGTGGACGTGACTAAACCTAAGCTATTACTACCGTTTCTGTGGTGCGATCTGCGCGTCGCTTAGGGATCGCAGTCGTTCGAAGTCGCGGTCTCGGTCGGCGACACGCAGGTCTGACCGTCGCTCGGCGTCCCGTAGATCCGAACGTCGCTCCGGCTCGCCGCGCGGCTCGGCCGACAGGAACGGCGACAAATCCCCCTCCCGGTCTAAATCCCGATCGCCGAAAGCTGCATCCAAGTAAGTCGACGTGTGTGCTTTCAATCGTTACATCTGACGATCGTGCCAATTTTGTGAGCTTATTTTTCATAACACCTTATTTTGTCAGTGTGTGTTATGCAACCATTTATTAGTCAAGTTACAGCTATTGCATCTTAAGGTAAGAGGGCCAGTTCTGATCACAATATTGTTAAAGCTATGAATGACCACCGAAGCATGTGAGATCTATTGTATCGTTCAGTATATTGTGGCATGTTTTTGTTGGCTCTTTGACCATTTTTTTTTTCGTCAGCAGAAAGATAAACTCACAAGTTTATTGGGACAAAAAGCATTATTGTCAGATATGGTCCGAAGTTAACCCATTGGCATATCTATATATTAACAAAATTCATCCCAACGTTATTAATATTGATGGCACATTATAAATACATTATTAACTCAGTCCATGTTTTCCTGCAACACGAAGAGACATCGTTCCAAGGTGAGCATTTGTGGCTAACTTTGTATATAGTTGTATGCGTATTTACTTAACTATTTATTAGACACATTCATATTTGGATGTAGCACTGTAAGTAATTAATTTTGTCTTAACATCAAAATCATCTATTCATCATAGTTTTAACTATTTTTCATAAATTACTAAATCAATGTTTTATCACTGTTAACGCTCTCGTTAACATAAATGCTTTTTTTTGTTTTGGCAACGATTTGACTGGCCACAATAAGCTTACAATAATACACTATCAAACTGTTGTAAAAAAACTGTGCTGTAATCTCTTAAAAAATTAACAGGGAAAGGTCTCGATCTCGCAGCAAGGAAGCGACTTCTCCGAAACGTGAGGAAGAACGTCGCGCCACCAAATCCAGGTCCCGCTCTCGCTCCCGGTCGCGCTCTGGGTCTCGCGACCGCTCGGCGTCCCGGGACCGCTCCCGGTCGCGTTCGCGCTCCGCCTCCCCGCGACAGAACGGCGACGCGCCCGACCGCGCGAGTACGGACCGCTCCCCGCGCAGTGGCGAATAGACAGATACCCTTAGTTTTAACTTACATTCTAGGTATAGTTTTTAGATTATACGTATGCGTGACTTCTTTACTGAATACGATTTTAAACTTAATAAATTTGTCTCGACTCCAATGTTCAATGCCAGCTAGTTGTGTGTGCGTTTTTCTTCATACATCGTTATCTGTTTTTGGAACTATTATATTTAAAACGCGTTTATTCCAATAACTGTGCTAGGATAATAATGTATACGAATTTATTCGACATACGTTATGGAGCACATGGCACGATACCCGAAAGTACAATTTAGCTGGGTGTTTATAAGGGATAAATGCTCTATTTAATGTTCTATGGAAGTCACGATTGTAATATAAGATTTTTTTATGAGCGCACCATGTTCGCGATCGTTTTTTGCATTTCCTTAGTCGGTAGGGTTGTTTAGATCGCTTCATGGGCTAGTTGGCAAAAAGATACATGTTGATAAATTAAATATTTTAGGGAAATTGTGTCTGTAAGTATTAACTTACAAATTATAACGTCAAAATTACATGTTTTTAATTTGCGAACTATCACAATTTAAAAACATGTTTTTTTTTTGTTTTACGTCCCAATATTTGTTAAGTCAAGGCGTTTAATTTGTAGAAAAACAATTGAAACTTAAATAATTTATTATTTGCCCTATTGCCACTATAATGTTGATAGTTTAAAATGTAATGCTGCAATATTTTACCTATTTTTTGGTAAGAATAAAAATTTTGAATGACACAAATAGACAATTTATTTGTAGTCTAATCGTGGTATTTGTACATAGTGTATTTGTTATTACTAATAAATAACCAAATAATAAATAAGGCTGTAAATTACTTCTTTTATTTCTAGTACCCTGTAATAACAATTGTCGAAGAACATTCCTTGAAAACCACCACTTTACTTTCTTTTTCCAAGTTTTATCCATCCATCCTTTTTCAGCCTATTTCACTCAGTGTCACACACTACACTACACGCACAAACTAATATTCTCAATTTTCAAAATAAAATTAGCGGGATTCGTTACAACACGAAGTCTTGCGCACACGATAACAATATTTGATCACACAATTGCCGTGTATTATGACGAACTCAAAAAGACTAAACAATTATTAACACAAAAAAACTCAAATATCTCACGAACATCTACAAGGACACAGAACAGCAAAACACTCAGCGGTTCGCGGTGGCTAAGAGCCGACTGACTGTACTTACTGGATGAACTAATTAAAAAGTCGTGTCCGTCATCCTGATGACGCACTAATCAACTTATTTCGTTCGATTCGAGTGTAGTAAAAGCGACAACGTGTGATGTTACCGCGCCGCGTATACAGCTGATCGCCGCCTGAGGTCAATGTATTACGGCTGCATTTACACATGATGTTGCAAATTACGAAAACAAAATATGACCTGCTAAACCACTGAATATTTTTTGTTCATATTTTGCAAATAGTCTAGAAATAAAGTGCAGAATATGTAAAGGTTTAAAGATTCGTCGTCAAAAAAAAAACACGTGGCTCCTCAGACCATACATACGACTATTATTTTTCAAGGAAGCAGTCTTTCAATTGATGCGCGATTTCATCATTTAGTAGTAAGTATATTGAATTTGTAGTGTAAAGAGTCAGTAGGTAATTAAAAATTAGTGAATTGGGAGATATGGTACTTTTTAACTGGCTCCTCAGTTAACATGGTTCGGTAAAAGATTTGACACTAATACGAGTATACTTATAGTAAGGATCTACTTGTGAGGAAATTTGGAACATAAAACATCTATATTTTGTATAAATTTAAACTAAATATACGTATAATCCTGCCATAAAAAGTATAGTATCTACGAAGTTATTATTATTTAATTTCCTAACTACATTTTTTGTAAGTGTAAAGTTATAAAGAACTTATATAGAAGGTATTTTTTCGTACCGTTTAGTACACATCTATTTTATTTTACTTCAAATTATTTAGAGGTTTACACATTAATTGAACTACACATTAATATATTATAGTTACCTGCCTACCCTCAATAATATTTATTTTTACACCACGAGACAACAGTCAGTCTCTCAACACTGATAAATAGTTATTGTATACGTAGTAAATTAATACTTTTTTATTTAATTATTGTTATCGATACTAAACCCGTCAAAAATAGGTAGGTAGTATAATACTAGGTGTTTTTCTAATTAGCGACGCTGGCATAGGACAACTATACATATGTTTTATTAAGACTATGATACTCAATGTAAAACTCGTAATAACACCGACCAACCAATATTAATTCACTGTATAACTTATGGTCAAAATTAATAATAATAACTTCACACGGCTGTCTGATCCCAAACCAGGCAGAGCCCGTACGATGGTAACCAGACTGCTGATAAACATACCTACTTATATATTTTTTAAATACATACATATTATAGATAAATTACACCCAGGCAGAACAAAATGACCGTGCTCATCACACAATATTTGTCCTGGGTGGGAATCGAACCCACGACCTCCGGCTTAGCAGTCAGGGTCACTAACCACTAGACCAACAGGCCCGTCAAATAAATAAATACTTATAACTGAAGAATTTTTTTACATTCATCTATTTCGATAATTGACAATTTGTTGAAAATTAAATTTCAAATGTAGTCCTTGTGATTTCACATTTTTACATAGTCACCTTTTTTTCTTTTTTTTTTCTTTTCTCTCGAACCGACTAAAACCGCACGCCGTCTCGGGTACTAATAGCTGGGGAACCAGGTATACCCTAGAAAGGAAGTCCCTGGTGCCCCGACATACCTCGGGCCATCTACAACAACAGGTAGACGACCCCCATGTTCCCTCTGCTCCCTGGAAGCGAGCGCGCTCGCCGCCACCCCGGCCTGCTTCTGCTAGGGTGACAGATGGCCTCACCTGTCACCCCCAGGCCTGCGCTTATGGAGGACGGAGGTCGTTCTGCGACCTCCGGCGCCTGAGTGGCCAGCGGTACCTGGCCCGTTCCCGGGCCTGGCGGGCCGGGGGAGTCCTAAACCTCTCCCGTTCCCGCTCCGCCGTCTCCTTCGCGAGCATAACTTGCTCGCAGAAGGAGACGGCAGAGAGTTCCACGCACTCTCGCTCCATTTTAATAGCCTACACAAGCAACTAGTAACGCCAGTGATAAGTGGGGCAAAAATAATGCAGTAAGACCGTTCAGTAAATTTTTTATTTACATATTTTAAGTAACTGCACAGTTTGCTCATACGACAAAATTTGTAAATAATTATGTAATTTGTTTTTACGGTTAACATAATTTAATTTATAAATACTTAGCTCTCTATTTAATCTATTATATATAAATAGACCTAGAAAATAAAAGAATCTAGTTGAATAGATGAACTTTGAGCCTGATTGTGAGGCACAGACAGAATAAGCCCGGGACCAAGGATACTTCCCTGGCATAAGGCATTCCCCAGGAAACTAACCTTGGTCCCATGCTTTACCTGGTATATATTAACGATCTATAATCTTACCTTAGAACATGGAAAGAAAATACTATATATATTAAAGGTTATATATATATATGTATATTATAGGTTTTGACATTCCAAAACCTGGTATTATTTCATCATCGCTCACGACATTTCCTATTTTATCACATTGTTGCCGATGGCTTAAATAGTCTGAAAATATCTAGTTTAAGCTGTGTATCTCTTATACCAAGAGCCTCCAATTTGTTCAGCAGTGAAAAATTTGAGATAGTGTCAAATGCTATGGCAAGGTCTAAAAAGGTTTCCCGTCTTGTGATTGCTTGGCTTTTTGAAGTGCAAGCAGGTTGCTTTTATTGTGTGTCTTGGATTGAGTGACCATCTTCGCCACAATGTCCGCATGTAGAGGTCGCTGTTTTGCACGTCTTCGCTGCGTGTCCGTATTGCTGGCACTTGAAGCATCTGGTCACAATCGTGAAGTCTGACCGGACAGGACGTCCAGTTGATGAATAACCTGTTCTGGGTAATAAGAGCTTTACGTATTACGGCTGATACTTCAATAATGGAATTGCACGTCTCAGAATTTTTCTTGCCCGATTTATGGCTAAGTTTTATCGAGGTCATAAATGTATTTTTCGTCATACCATGTAATTTGTCGGTCACCTATAAACGCTTTTAACTTTTAAACCAGTAACAATTCTGGTATTTGGCGATAAATTGGCGACGAAATTTTTGTTTTATCAAAATTAAAATTCATGATGTAATGGTGGCCAAGCCAGTGTCAGTGACACAAAAATGACCGGACCACACCAGGTTTTTTCGAATATCATGTGAATAGGATTTAATACAATATTTCTACTAATTCATACTCAAACAGTAAAATTCTACACCTTAAATTTCAAAATATTAAGTAAAGATAGTGGTCCCGCTATTTTGATATCAAAGTGGCCGGATGAGTGATCTTAAACTGAACACGACTAATACGATATAGTACAACTACATTTGAATTGTTATATTCGTTACTATACTTTTTTAAATAGTTATTTCAATAAAATAAGTATTTGTTATATTTACATCAACAAAACGGGTGAAAAAAAACAGTAATTTTAAGCCAGGCATCATTTTATGGCTCTTAAAATGTGTAACTGTTAGATTTTAGGTTTGTATTATATCAGTAAAACAGAATTGTGACGCGCGTGTTTAATTGTAGTAATAAAACTGTTTTAAATTCAAGAGGTGTCTTTGTAAATAGTGTATAAAATATTCTTAAAACAAATTTAATGCATCACAAACCTTTTTAGCGCCTAAACAAATTGTAAAAGCCATAAAGTGATACTTGGCTTAATATTACTCTTTCCTCAGGCGCTTTTCTGATGTAAATATAATAAACCCTTTTTTTATTGAAAGTACTGTTTTAAAATTATAACACCGATTCTAACGTAGTTGTACTATATCGTTTTTTTTGTTGTGTTCAGTTTAAGATCACGCTGTGAGATCTTCATTTCATCAAAGCATGAAATCGTAGAAATATTGTATTAAATCCTATTCACGCGATAATCTGGAATCACATAATCTAGATACTAAAAATCTGGCGTGGTCCCGTCATCTTGACGCACGTTTTTTTTTTTGTATAATAGACACATATTGTATTTCAACTACTACGTCATATGTCAAAGTTTGGGTCATTAGTATCTACATTGAACCCGTGTGAAGCCGGGGCAGGTCGCTAGTTGACTATAATTAGTGATGTGCCGAGTCGCTGTTTTGGTGGATCGAATCTACTCGAGTCGGTTTATACGGTATTCGAATCATGACTCGATGCCTCGATTCGAGCCCAGTACTCGAGTTCTATGCTTGGTATTCGAATGTTAACTCTAGTCCAGAACTCGAGTTTAAGACTCGAGTCTAAAAATTCGAGTCTAGAACTCTAGTCTGGAAATTCGATCTAGAACTTGAGTCTACAAATTCGGGTCTAGAACTCCTCCCTGTGATAGATTAGGCATGGTGTCAATTCGGAGAGGACCTGAAATAACATGGTCCGGGTCCTCCCCAGAGTAGGACACCTGAGACTGGCCGTCGGGGTGGTTTTTAGTGGAATCACCACATACTCCTGGCTCATAGTCCCCGAGGAGCAGGAGATCCGAAGGGATTTTCCACCCCAACAACAAAAAAAAAAGGCGTCACATCATTCCTTATGTAAACAGATATCGAGTACGAGCGAGTCAATCTAACTCGTACGCTCGATTCGAGTCACATGGAATCGCCTAAACATAATCGAGTCAGCGAGTACAAATTCGATTCTTCCTGACTCGAGTGCCGGAATCGAGTCCGGCGTACTCGATTCAAAATAAATTGGTATTCGAATAAGCGAGTCTAAAGCAGAAATCGAGTCTGACTCGAGTCAAGCCCTACTCGGCACATCGCTAACTATAATTAATAAGGTAGGCAAGAAAAGTTATCCGCAAGGATCTAATGGTTATTTACCGCTGTACTAATAGTCAAAATATTACAGTTTAATATAATTATGTATAAGCTTAAATCATTCGAAAGTGATTTTTGTACCTCAAGTCCAGACTGTTTACTATGGCCTTTGAAAAATCAACTTGTGTGGGGTACGCACACACGTCGGAAGGTGATGTTTGTAGGTATGGTGGTGGTGAAAATAAAATGTCCTCTTTAATTTTTTGTAAACAATTGTTTATTATTAACATTTTATTTCTCGTTTGCATCCACTGCAATAATTACACGTTCGTCACAAACACTCGCTGGCAATATATCACCGCATTAGCAATACAATATGACTTTTATTCTGTTACATTCTACTACGGAATTATTGGTTACAGTTCACTTCAGCTATATTCCTTTCATTTTTCTTTTGAAACATAGTTCTATGTGAATATACCAAAGGATAATCATAATATTATATTTAAGATAGATAAGAGGTAAAATTGTACTTTGTCCGTCACGGACGAAATGTAGAATAATGAGACAACACTGGTTTCGCATGCAAAATAAACAATTATAAGAAAATAGAGAAATTAAAATTAAAAATTACAGATAAAGGCTACTTAGCTAAGAAATGGAATGATTTGAAAAATTATCTCTTAGTATACTCACATGCGGTACAATATTATTCATGATTTTATAAAATGGGTCCAAAATATCAATAAGTCAATTTTCACATCAGTCAATTGTAAACCTTAACTTGAAAAATAATTATACAATGATTTTGTTTATACAAATTAAAGAAATTCACAATAATTATAATCATAACCGTTGTAATAAATACAATTAATTACTGACATTTTATTGTATGGAATAGTAATCTCAATTTTAAAATGTCATTTGGTAATTCTCAAAAAGAAAAATGAAAGTTTCACTGTGATCAATTAAGTACAAAAATTATGATTCTATTTTAGTACATTTGGATTATTTTTTTATTTTGCTCATAATTTAAACTTATGTCATCTTAAAAAATTAAATACAAGAATTATTATTGATCATCAGTCTATTCATATTTTTACAATTTTGTCGATTTAACCTTTTTAATCTACGATCGAGTACAAAAGGCAACATAAGAGGTAAAATACCTATCACTTACCGCATAACATCTACGGATTTTATAAAAATGTAATTTAACATAAATTATTTCATAAAGACGATTCGTGTTCGACACGCCACACGTAACAATCGAACGTGTGGCGGGTCAAGTTGCGAATCAAAACCGTTATAAACAACATTATCTCGCGAACTGTACCTATTCAAATAAATAAGTTAAAACAACCAGAATGATGTCTTATGTTGCCTAATGACGCCGTTATATTGTCACAGTACTCTTACAAAAGTAACAGAGAATATACTTACAATACTAAAACTTAATCTTTATACACAATGACTTAGGTTTCGACAATTTGTTTCTATAAGTACTGAAGTTAATTTTAACCTATGGACTAATTACGTGCCATGTGAACATTTGTGGGAAGCGAACGCGGCTCTGGCGGCCAGAATGCGGAGCGGATAGATCACGGACCGCGCAGGCATTCAGGCGGCTAGAGTGGTCGCTCGCTCTTTCAGGAACGTTAAACAATCGTACTAACTGAACTACGGAAAGTAAGAAAAAAAAAAATCTACGTCGATTTTCAAGAAAACCTGAACAAGATTTCTTTAATGTGATAAATTCACTATCATAATCATAGGAACAAATGACAACAATTAGTCAATCACAAAAAATATAAATCAATGTAAAATTGTGAACGCATCATTCGCGTTATTATTATCATCATTTTTTTTTTATATAAATTAGTCTAATCTTATTTTACGCACGGTTTGGCTTGTATAGTGGTGCGAGTCTAGAGGGAGTGTTAGTGGTGCGAGTATCCGCGGCACGACCAAGTAACAGGGTACTTCAATGTTGCCAGATAACATACATATATCTACTAATCTAAATAATAGTCATTAAATTTATACTAAGTAGTGGTCAAGCTTTCGAGTCATGATTTATTAGCTAGTCAAAATCCAAAAACTTCCGCGCAAATAGTACATCGAAAGTCACGTGTCAAAGAATCTTTGGAAAGAGACCTGGCAACACCAGCACTGACCGTAATTACCTATGTCATGTGGTCGCGTCGCGAGTGGGCGTCTCGCAGCGGACCGTGCTGCGGGCGCCGTCGCCCGATACCTACAGAGATCGCGACGTGGACAGAGTCCACCGGCCCCTCGGCTCACGCGGTCCTCGCCCACGACACAAGATCCTTGTTCACGGCACAGCTTCTGCCTGGTAGGTCTACAAACTTGAATCTCGGCGGCAGTAGCAGGCTTAAACTGTCCCGTGAATAAAATTCTCATTGTTGCCGCCGAAAGTCGAGCGGGCGACGTTTGCCGATCAGGGGCGGAAACAATGCGATCCGTCCCGCCAATACTATTTACAGGGGCGTACGAATCGCTCTTAAATAAATACATCAGAACGCTTAAACTAGCCGTTTTATACATGTCACTTTACACTTTTAACGCTATATTTACACTCGGCGCACAGCCTGTTTCGCACTAGCGTTCGTTGTGAATAAATAAGTTATTTCGTCCATTGTCGCGGATGTGTCACTACACTTGTGTGGCGTACGTCGGCGGCAGGCAATGGTCGTCTAGTACGTACACCCCTCCGCCTTCTAGCGCTCGCTTCACTAGCGACGTATCGCTGTAACAACAGAAAATTTACTTTCAATAGTTGTTCAAGGAATAAACAAACAAACCATCTAACCTAATGAGTCTCTTGTTACTTTAGTTGTGAAAATGGTTTAAACTTTTTGCTTTATTAAGAGTAACCTATGTGTGAATTTATTTTAGTAAGTTAGTTTAAAATTAGAACTTATAGTAATGTGATGAGAACGAGGTTAATACTGACCTATTAGCGCAGTAGGCGGAATCTGCGGATAGCCTCGAAAGTCGCGGGTCAAGCGCGGCAAGTAACCTCGCGCTTTCAGTGTTGAGCGTCTTGCGCTTGCACTCCTCGGCGGCCGCGTTGTGCGCGTTCTGGCATTCCGCGACAGGAGCGTCACACTTGCCCCACGTGTTGCGGATGACGTGGCCGCCGCCCGCGTTGGCCGCGTTCTGAGCGCGCGCTTCGGCGTCGGCCGCGAGCGCCTGGCGCTTCCGGCGGCGTCGAACGCACACGATGGCGAGCGTGGCCGCCAATGCCACCAGTGGCACTACCGCCGTCACGCTCGCAATCCACGCCACCTGCTGCCCAGACAGACTCTCCTCTTCCGTGACCTCGTCCCCTACTCTCCGTAGGTGCCCCCCCGGCTTGCTTTGCCGCCAGCTCGGCCAGGGAGACCGTGCACGACTTGCCGCCCCAGCCGGGGGGACACGAGCAGTGGTAGCCGTCGACTCTGTCCCGACACGTTCCGCCGTTCCGGCACGGGGACGAGGCACACTCGTCAATGTCGATGCTGCAATCTTTGCCGGTAAAGCCGGGCCGACACCTGCACTCGTAGTCGTTGTCAAGAATCAAACATTCACCTCCGTTCGCACAGGGTTTCGCAAGACACAAATCTACCCTCGTCTCGCACCGTGGACCCAGAAAACCGGGTGCGCAGTGACATCGTTGACCATTTACCAGATCCACACAGGTTCCTCCATGTTCGCAAGTGATTCCCGCACAATCGTCGATATCAATTTCGCATCGGTTGCCTCTGAATCCAGCTTTACAAGTGCACTTAAATCCATCTCCGGCTCGCATACAAGTAGCGCCGTTTCTGCACGGGTTGGCGGCGCAGGGATCCGCTTCGAGTGCACAGTCAGTACCTGCGTACCCTACAGGGCACACGCAGATGTAGCCAGTGGGGCGAGGCTCGCAGATTCCACCGTTTCGGCAGGGTTGGTCAAAGCAAGTCAACCGTCGCGTCTCGCATCGCGCTCCTTCGTATCCCTGTGGACACGCACACGAGAGTTCTCCGCTTTCGTCTGGCACGCATGCGCCTCCATTGCGGCAAGGTCGTACGTCACAGGAGTGCAGAGATTTCTCGCAATCCGGGCCAGTATACTCGGCCGGACACATGCAAGTGTAGCTCCCCTGCCCTGTGTTATGACACGTGCCGCCATTCCGACACGGTCGGTGGTTGGTGCAGTAGTTGAGGTCTTGGTTGCAGAACAACCCTCCCCAACCCTCTTCACATATGCAATCCCAGGGCCGCGAGCAGGTGCCGTGTACGCAGCCCGGATGTCGCTCGCACTGGTCACACAGCTCGCCCACCCAACCCGAATGACAACTGAAATAAAGAAAAACCTTCGTTAGTAATAGAATAGGATGTGATAACAAGCAACAAAATGTCTTTCTTTCGACAGAACAATAAGGAGGATGAATGATTTAGACACGGAGGGAGGTAACGTTAGGCGTTTAGCACAAAGGTGTGAAGTGGGTACTCACATGCATTCGTCGGGCTTGAGGCAGTGGCCGTGCTCTGCGTCGCAACCGGGCAAGCAACGCGCTGAAACAAAAAGAATACATTTGTTAGCGCGTCTGGAAGACAAAGAGCGGACGAAGGTACTCGGTAATGGATTTCTTGAATTGTAAAGGAAGCGAGAGCGTTTAATCACGCAGATGATATTCGAGGATTGTGTGCGATATCGCTCGCTAACGTTGGAATCTGTGCGCAGTTTCGCTTAAAGCACACATGAGTGCAACAAAGAGAGAGGTTCGTTAGCGTCCCAGGCCGGGGCGAGGTCGCCTTAACACACTATTTATCTTCGCTCCGCTCGCAACTACATCGAAATCCTCTCTAAACTTTACAACGCGCATTAAATTAAAAAAAAAAGTACTTTAATTTCGCTCGCAGTTTGGTATTTCAGTTCAGTTATAAGCCGAGTGTTCGTCGATTTCTAATTATACATATCTAACATTGTTAGAGCGGTAAGTGTACTTGTATTAAAATGTGCGCATCGTTAACTTCGTGATATACACACAGAACCTTACCCTGTTTTGACCTCGGGAATGAATAACATTGAAAACGTATACATTTTAAGGAACCAAAGTTCATTGCGGCGCGTACACAGCTGCAACTTCGATATTGTGAAAGGTAGCGCGTAATGTATGATGATGTTAAGAAAAATAGTGTTTTGAAACAAGAAGCGCTGCGCGGAGTCGTATCGGTCGGGTGCGCATGGGCAAGTTATCGGAGCGAATACAAAGGGGGCAGATAGCGCGGGGAGCCTAACCGTCGCTCGACCGTTACTATTCCCCTAACTACTAGAAAAATACTAGACGCCATCTTGATAATAACTTTAATTCCCTATCCGATTGCAAATGTAATGTCATTTAAATTCTAAACGAAATAGGAAAGTCATTTCGGCAAAACCCCAACTACCGAACGGAGTTTATGAGGAATTTTCTGAGCTTATAGACGGCTGCATAAAAGAGATTAATTCACACCGCTCCGCGCCCTAGACTATTATAGAGTTAAACACAGTCGAGTGAGCATAAAGTCCCCGAAACTTGTTCAGAGTGTTGGCAAATCGGCTTAAATCGCACTCCGACAAATTGGTAAACTCACTCGCGCGCTTACTCCTATTATTACAGATGTGATGTATTTTTATTGTGGAGAAAATGGAAAAGAACATAATCCGCTTTCACGAGAACTTCGCACTTTCGCGAATAAAATAAATTGTTATTTAAAACAATCGCTTCTCATGACCTCTTTGGAGCTATTACAATGAATTTATTAATAAAACTTTATGGGGAACATAAACGAATAGAAAAAGTGCGTCGGGCGCCGCGGTCGGTCCGCCAGAACAGATCAAAGGAGCTCAAGTGTGTATGTGCTTCTATGCACTCCAAAGCCACTCGAAGTTATCTTGACCCTCGAACTGAGGTAAAACGGTAGTAAAAATTACACTCCAAAACATTTTAAAATCCATAAGTGGTCATGAAGAAGACTAGCAGGATGTTTAGAATGAAAAGCTATTAATTTATTTATCAATGAACGGTATTGATTTGTATTGTAAGGTAACGTGCACCGCAGTGCGACCAAGGCCTCGGAGCCCGCGACCTTCGCCGAGGACAGGTAGGACGACAAAAACGACGTCTTCCCACATGTGACTGTCAAATATTGACTTGTTCAGTCCCTGCATCTGTTCCTACGAAACGTATATTATGATTCGCGATACAAGTTATTCGTGAGAACCTTACTCTCGTTAACAATTAGGAGAAATTAAGCGGTCGTAAAGGCTCCTCTCGCGATGTTTACCCTATTATTAAGAAGGAGAACTGGACGGTGGATAATGCCGTCGGGACATGCAAATCAGTTTTTTGGGATTGTTAAGCTTTCCCAGAAGGCGAGATACCGTTCCGCAGATGTGAGCAACTCTCATGACACGGTCATGATCAAATTTTATTTCGATTGGTGTTCAGTTCTCGTTTAAAGGTGTTTTTGACCCGGTTCATGGCATCTGTGTTGCGGGCCGCGGTGCTGTGTGTGCGTGCGCGAACGTATAACGTTGTTTTCATTAAATTATGGCCTCTTCTCTCGCTTTTACATTTTCGTAATCGCCGATACAAACTACGCTGTTAGGGTTGCCCACTTTTATTCCTAGTACGTTTATGTAACGTATGACATCAGTGTTTTGGTCCTTTCACACGTTCAAGTTTAAAATTAATTTTATACTTTTTGTTGGCGTTGTTGAGATTCTTCAGATATCGACCGGGTCGTCGCATTTGTTTACTTTTCCAGAAAATTGTGATTTCGTGGTTATCCTGTCGCGTGGAGGCTGAACGGTATGACGGAGCGGGTGGCGGACAGCCCTGATGTGCGAGTAAGACGGCGCACTGTACGGCGCAACTCGCTTCGTCTCCGTCTGGCGCGTTTTTTGCGGCGCCGGAGTGTGGGAACGCGGCGGCAGGTGGGGCTGCCGAGATTGCGACGCGACATCCGCCCGGCCACAATGCATCTCGAGACGCACAGCTTTGTTTCACAATACGAGACGATATGTGCTTAACATACACCAGGACGTCGCCACGTCGTAATAAAGTTAGACTTTAGAATTTTATTAGATACTTATACTTATTCGCTATCGATGATCAATACGGGAAAGCATCCAGCGTTCATTGACGATCGACATGAATGAGCGCTCCGTCCGTTGCTTTTGTTTACAAACGCATTATTCGCAATGGAACGCAAACACGAACCGCATGAGGACAGTCACACGCTTGTCTCATATATAAACTATAACACGGCGAGTCAATATCATTGGCATTGCACAGACGTACGAGTTGTATTAATATTTAAGACAATATAAATAAAATATGATGGCATCATAAAATTAATTATGAAACTATAGCGTCGTTAATAGCGGACCAGTTTGCCAGTTCGAAGTGGCAATAATTTTTATGTAAATACACAACTAGCAATCAATCTTTGGAGGAAAATTACTAATTATATTTTCATTTGACGATGTGTTGATTTGACTTTTGCGTAAATTCTACCTACCATTTGAAAGGTCCTTGACTATTGTATTATTAAACTCAGTTTAAATAAAGATTAATAGAAATACATATGTTAATTAGAGCTAATAATGAAATGTAACTTCCCATTACAAAAATCGTGGGTCACAGAATAAAAAATACAATGAAATCCATAAAAATATGTTGAATTATGAGAAATTTCTACATTATAAAGGTGTAATGACTACGAAACTATATTATTTTATAGCGTCGAGACTACTACTAAAAAAAAGTGATTAAATTATGAGCCGTTCGCTTGGAGGTCGGGCGATGCCACGGGAAGTGGACATAACCTTATAAATATTATTACGAATACTCTAAAAGTACCTAATATGCGATTAATTAAAAATACGATTTATGATGCTATAAGATAATTAGACGATTACTATGCGCTATTTAAAATAACAAAACTTTACAGGAGGTCTATTACAGCTGTCCAATCGGTATTAGAAAATGCCAACATAGTCTTATATTATTATTTCGCCTTATTGAGGCGTTTAATAGCCACACGGCCATATTTATTCGTGCTGCATAAAACACTACATAAATAACACATACCGACTGTGAGAAGTCTGTTCGATTTCTTAAACCCTGGATACTAAAGGATGTAATTTTACATTTCCTTCATCGCTTTTTTATTTTTTAATTAAAGGTAAATTACACCTAATGTGTGTAGCTCAAACGAATTATAACCTGTATAAGATATATACAACTATAAAATAATAAAGCTTTTTTTTTCAGTTGAGTGCATTTGAATATCGAACCGAATCAATAGTGCTGTCTGATACTTTGTAAGGTGTCATTTTATTACGATATACAGTCTACATACAATTACATCACTATATGGTGCCCACAATAATTATTGTTATGTTTATGAAAGGAAGTCGGACTAAAAAATTGTCGTTTGCCTAATGAGGAAGAGTGAATTGTGGGGCGCTCTATATATAAAACGTGGTATTGGAAATTTAGGACAAGCATGACGCCATAAATGGACGCGGTCTTTCATTTACTTTTATAAGTCTATTGAAAAATGGGATTCACCATTGGCGTTGGTAACACTAACACTTAGGTTGTATACGAGTATAGTCTGCTTCTCCTGATTCTGAATATTATTTCTACCGCGCTAAACAATATTACAATTGATTTTTACTCTATTATGTTGACATATTATTGAAGTTACAGGAGGTTTTAACATTACTAGAATGTTGTAAAATAGAATAGAAAAGTATTATCTACTTACCGTAAGAAAAAAAAACTTATTACAGAAAGAACAAGGTGGTAAGTAATACGTGTTCTAATTTTGAAAATGGAAAGGAACTTCACTTACGTTTTGAGCAATAGTCGCCCGTCCAGCCGGCCTTGCAGACGATTTCTCCCGACGATGAACACGTATAATGTCCGAATGCGTCATCCCTTGGCCTGCAAAGTACTTCGCAACCTGATCCGTAGTAATGAGCCGCACATGTCACTCGGTATGAGAGCCTCAAATGAGCAGCCCCCGGACCTCCCCATCGCTGTTCTTCCTCGATCCATGGACCTCCAACATCCGCTATACTTTGCTTCGTCATGCGCGCGATTAAGGTATCTGCAAAGACGAAAATTTTCTTTTACATCGGAAAGAAAGCACATTTTGTAGTTGGATTCAGCGGATATCTAAATAGTGCAATGTTGTCAGTGTTAGATAATGACTTTTAAAGAACGTTGTTAAATGAAACTGAAAATTTTATGTGAGAATGAGAATGTGTTTCGCACTAAATTAATCTCCCCGTTCGACGTAACTGATTCCGAGATATTTTTTAATTAGTAAAAATACGGGTGTAATGCACAAATATTTATTTATCACCGTGGGAAAGGGTTACAGAAGTAAATTGACCTGTTAACGTCAACCGTTTGACGCCCGCATTCGACCGTGAGATTTCATTGTTCCCAAGCGTGATTCACTGTTTTGATTTGTCGCTGGCGCCCGTTCAAAGATTGATTAATAGTTTTAACTACAATCTTTATGTAATACATTACTTACAAAATTTAAGTAAGTAATATGTAACGTTATGTATCTATAAAAAGCTGGCGGACGAGTCCCACCGCGCTTGACGGGCTAACCTTACATAAGAGGGGCGCAAAAAGTAGTCTGTGAAAACTACCTACTGCAATGATTTGAAGAACTGCCAGTCCATTCATCAACGTGCGTACGTACTGTGATAGGGCTGAGTTTATCCAACAACAAAAAAAAACAAAGGAACGCAAACATGAAAACCCGAAACAAATTAAATTTAGAACAAAAATAAGATAAAAATCTTTCAAGCACACACGAAACAATTTAGAGCTATCAAATTAGAGTTCTATACAAGGAATTAGACGAGTCACGGTGGTGAGAAATCATTTTTTGTTTCGCCGGTCCCAAAGCGTCCTAGTTTGTTACTTCGCGGCAGCCCTAGCTAAGAAATCTCGGCTTCGACCAGTTTCTACCTTTATTTATTTCTCGTCGTGTATGCCCACTTTTTACTCTTGTTGCTTGGATGGATACATTCCTAAGCCGGTAATCCCGACAGCAGATAAAATTAAACCAGACACAGAACAAAATTAAAAGGTATATAAATTTTTCGTTCCCGACTAATTTCGTGCGGTATGGTATTGGTTCTTTTGTTTAGGGTGTCAGTGTTAAGAAGTCCGTAATGAGAAGGAGATATCATTATCTGTGATCGACTATGAGAATCAGAGTGGTTCAGTGGCGCGTCTGGGAAAAAAGGGCACAGTTCATACTGAAACATCCTTAATATTCCACTTTTGTACGTAACACATTCACTGTTTTATTACAAGTTCTTCAGACATACATTTCAAAATATTTTTTTCCACATAACGTACTTTTTAATGACTATCTGTCACATTAAAATACATCGCGATATTTCAGTCATTCCGACTAATAAAAGTATACTACGAAAAACTGTTATTTTTTTGTATTGTGTAAACAAATCTCAAAATACCAACATGACATTGGATGTTGTCACGGCATCAGGACTACAGTGCAAATAATTCTAAATTTAATTTTCATATAAATATCGGTTAAACGATGATTGCGTCGACATTGTGGGATAAAGCATATTGCACACGATTTACCGTTCCCGCGCAGGCTTACAAAGATCGTATCTGTCCAATAAATCTAGAAGATAAAACGCGTATGCTACGCGCGTTGTGTACCTAACGAAAATACAATCAGACGAACGCTATCGATTTACGATTTATTTCGATCTGGCTTTCATTCCGATTAAATATTATGAAACTTTATTTTACTCAACACTCATCACTTTTATAGTTTTACTCGAGTACTATCTGTGAAAAGTTCAATTTTACTATACGATGAGCAAATAAATTATTATAGTGAAGTGCAGAGTTCGGAGGAAATTAGAAAAATGATGTGTGGGAACTGAGCTCGGACCGCGTGCAATTTAGTTTCAACGTGCGCAGGAGAATTATGGCACCCGTGCATTGAAGCCTCAGGTGCATCAGGGTTGTCACAGATATATATATTATATAATTTGTATAGTTATCTTATTTATCCCGAATAAAGTAAGAAAAATAGGTGAAATTTCCGAAAAACTTGTACACTTAATAAGACTTAAACTTTACTAGCCCTGGAACAATCGAGCATCAATTTATAAGAAAATTACATTCTCACAGTATTCATCTTGAATGGTCGACTTATTGAAATCAAAACTTTGATTCCTCAGAAACGACTACACAAATTATACTTATCATCCTAATTCAACGGCGTAACGATATTAAATGAAGGTGTACCCCACTATCGCATCTATTAATGTAATTCCAATTCACAAATAAATAACACATTTAAAGAAGGACGAGGCAGCATCGGGTACGTGCTTCGCCGCCGCCGTGCGCCAGATAACATGTAATTATGGACCCAGAGGTCACTACAAATAAACCGAGAGTAAATTCGACAGCAAACGCCAATAAACAAAAACAAAAGAAAGCGAAATAACCGATAATTTGACTCGGCTACGCTATCGGAGGCGGACGCAAGTGATTTGGATGTTGAGAATGCAATTTTTGGGAAGCGCTGGGGATATATGATCACGCGACGCTTCCGCTGATATGATCCACCGATCGATTATCGACCCACCGGATGTTACCAGACCTGCCTTTTTGCTAATAATGCAGACATAAGCTGCCTAGTGTTCCAGCTCAATCGACGTGATCTTATTTTAATAATGTTAGAAGGTTTACGAATGAAATCGAAACCGCGACAGCGTTGACGAGCGAAGGTTCGTCGACCGTTTTCCGCAGGTGAGGCCCACATCATTAAGCGATGTGTCGATTTCCACTCGTCTCGATTCGGACACCTGCCCGGGCCGGTTGACTCGTCGTAGCGGCCAACCGCTGCACGCTGTGGGAACTACATCTCGTCAATGGGCTGCCTACACAAACATCGCGCCACTTTTGTTTATAAAACTGTCCACTTCTAACTCTCAACGAATATTTCTAAAGGAGAAGAGCTGCTTGGAGACATCGCCTCTTGGACTCAATAAATAAACCATTCAGTTAAAGCTTGAGTGTTTCGAGGATTTAAATTAAATATTTTTAAATACTATTTGAGACATTTGGCTTAAAGAACGAAAGCTGCCTTCACTATTTAAGAAATAACACAGATTTTCATTTAGTGGAAAAGATCTACAATAAATAATTATTATTACGCAATATAGTTATGGACTTAACGTCCGTGAAAGCCAATTAACAAGGCGAGCAAGCATATACAGAGCCCTGGGAACTGTGCGCGAGCTGTACCACAGGCTAGGTAATGAATTGACTAATAATGCACGGCCGGATACGGAGATAAGCAGCCGTCACAACATAACTGTATCGATAATCGCATCTCGGTCGTGTAATGTCAGCCACCGAGCGGTAGCCGGGCCTGAGGCGGCAAACAGCGCGTCTCATCGGCCCGTACTAGTAATTACCTTTACCCAATCTCTTATCAATAGTTTTCACACGATATTTTTTCCCTAGTTTCGCTCCTACGGGCTGTAAAACTGAGTAGTGCAATAATCGTAAACAGTGCGGCTCAGAACGGTAAGGTAAACAAAAGCACAGGACGAGACATGAGGAGTGTGCCCACCTTATTATCAGAGAGCATGTGCTGAGCATCTGTCGACAGCGCATCCTGAGAGCGCCACAACGCCTGTTACATCATAAATCGAGCCTTCCGGAGCGTCTTCCGTGATTTTTTATAATGTTCATGTCCAACGACGAAAGATGAAGTGTAAACTAAAAAAATCTCTGACTTCCCTCCGAAAAATGTATTCTTTACCATCCCGTGAGTAAACAATACTGTGGCCCGTTAGTGCCGACCAGGTGCGGCCTCGCTCGCCTCGGGCGCTATACAAAAGATTTCGGTGAAGGAACAAGCGACAACATCAGAATTGCTAGCCATTGTTGTTACTTATTTGTTTAGTGCAAGAATTTCTTTATTCGTCGCCGTAAGTAATGATTTTCAATGTGGCAGCAGCGGGTCTATCTATGAAATATTGCATTCTTGGAGTCTTGTGTATCTTTTCTTCACTGTCTCGTGCATTTTAAATGAAAATTTAAGGGAATCGCGACAACGAATAAGTTACGTGCAACGATTGCTTTCTAAACCATTGCAGCTGTTCAATTTGTATGTTAGATAAAAAAACCAATGTGATTTAATTAAGCATTAGCCCGCTCAGTCGATAGAGAGTGAACACAAACGGTGTACGTGTAACCTGTTATTATGGTTGATTAGATTTCTGTTGGTAACATTTCTCGGTAGTAAGACCGGCGCCGCCCATCGCTCCCGAGCCGTATTAAAAATATACCCGTCCTAAGCTATCCACTTCGGACGCTAATGATTTTCGGTAAACTGGCCCGTAGACACACCTCGCTATATCTCTAAATCTCTTAAGTAAATCACCGTTTTTTTTTGTTAGACAGTCAGGAGTAGTAATTATGTCGGTCAGAGTGCAGCGGTATGAAAATCTAATTAAGAAATGGGCGTCTCCGGCAAGTTTTCGCGTCCGCCATTTTAATAATTTTGAAAATGGAATAGGTATTCGGTTTGGTTTATATCCAGCCAGTCGAGTGGTTTGTTTTTTCGAGGCAAGTAGTTGTGTATCGATGCACGCGGCGTATTATCACGATGATGTATTTACGAGTCGGGCGGTTACAATTCATTCGGAATCGTTTTTTCGGTCACGCCACGTCGCATGTAAGACATAAACTGTCGATTCTTTATTGCAAGTTTAGGCTTCTCGTGATATCGACGATGGAACACTAAACTTATGAAATCGATTATTATAAATGATAACGATCTAAAATATTTCTATTCGAGCACATGACATCCATTTAAGTTTGCGGTTATGATAGCGTGTCCAAAACCTATAGTATTTTTTTAATGCACAGAGGGTTTATACGCAAAAGTAGGTAACCAATTTGCCTATATTCCATAAGTTATTTTCATAACGCGACGTCTGCGCTGGTCAACGCCCATAGGAATACATTAGAACATTTCTACTAAATTTTCGTCCTACAGAAGGCTGAGTTTATTAGAATAGCGCGCGCATTGCGAAGCAAAGCACGCGCATCGCCGCGTGCTCTGAACACCAATGGCCGACTCCATGGGAACATTTTTGTCTTCCACGATATGATAATATGAGCATTCAAATATACATACTGTCCGTTAAATGCACGATAAACACCCAGAATTACAGTGAAACCTGAATGTGAGTGAGTCGTGACCGACGTGATTCGAATTTTACAAGTGGACAAAGATTTTTCATGACCCTTTTTATCATATAATTGTAATATTAAATGTAAAGGTCAGATCCTCTTTAAGTGGGATGATTACGTTGTTTAAACAAAAGACTATGAGTGAGTTTGCCACACAGACTAGATAAACCCTAGGTCCAGGATATAACTATGCTTTTATTGATTCAAACTAAAGGGCAATTTTCATTTGATGAGTTACTATAAAATAAACGTGGTATATAAGCTAATTATAATCACTTATGACTATGCTTGTTTAATGACTTAGTAGCAGTAAAAGTTGACTTCACTACTAATTATCTTAGTTCTTGAACATATAATATAATAGGGATTTGGTGTAAAGTACAGAATATTTTGTGCATTTGAAATAATCATCCCCGAAAATTCATTAGAAAAGCGCTTTGACTGAAAAACTTAATAGCTTTTGAGTACAAATTCTATGTTCCGTGCATTTAACGTCTTTTTAGTTACATTAAAGCATCATAATATATTTAAAACAGATTAAAGAAAAACACCAATAATAAAAAGAAATGACAATAGCGACGGCATGGTTGCCGAAAAAAAATTAACAATGAAAATATTTTAAGGGTAACCTTTTATAAGTGTGAAGGTTATGTTGAAGTTTCAAATCTTACTTTCTTTCCAATGTCACATAAACGCATACAGGTGTATTTAAAGGAATTGGTAACTCACCATCAGATCTTGACGTTTCGTTGGTGTCGTGCCACGCTTCCACTATAAGCGAGAATGTGCCCTGGAACACGAAATACATAAGTCAAATATTGCGTTACAAGATAAGAAACAAAAATATCTACAACTTGTCGATAAAGGAAGTGAAACTCCAATTGTACAATCTTATTAGCTCTCGCATTACGAGAGGTTTAACTCAAATCGAATGTCGCCTTTAAAACTTTCGCGTTCAACACCATATCATGATACCATAAAGTAAAGAACCAATGTATTTAAAAAAAAAAACACTGACATAATTGTCATTATACTTTTCTACTCAAGTAAAGAGTAATTATACATTTGAGTACCCACATTCATTTATCCTACCATAATAATAAAATTACTTTACATTTTTACTCAAAATATCTTTTAATATGGGTGCGGCAGTTGAGAATTTCAAATATTTCCTTTAGTATACGACAATGTTAATAGCCAACGAGTGTAAATTAACAACTTGATAGACAGGTGAACCCGCGAGCAGATGGTAACGAAATTGTTTCAATACCTATCATGCTAAAAATAATACATACGATCGCAATAAGGCAATGACGCTCGCTTAACGAGTCTACATCGAATGGGATCGTGTTAACGTGCATTTATAAAAAGTACCAACGTACGTATCTGATATCGAAGTATTGACATTTGTCGATGTTTACACAACGAGGCGAAACGGCAGTCAAAAATCGATTAAAACCTGATAAGAGGACGTGTCAACAGCTTTAAGGCGCCTGCGACGGAACTTATCAATGGGTTTTTTGTCAAGTTCCGTTCATGCAAAAATGTACACGACTCTCGGCTTGAAATTTCTCCCAACGCGGTCGGAACCGGTCGGCGGTCATAAAACACTCGAGTCCACAGCCCGGCGAGCGGCTCACCAGCTAGTGTTCCCGACCTTTACTTCTCGCGTCTTCTAAAATCGTTGTTTTTAATTACAGCGGATGTCAATTATTTCCCGACAATTTTTGGTTGAGCATCGGACTTAAATATTTGTGCAGATTAGTAAGTGGTTAAACGCGAAACACTCAATAAAATAAACTGGTGAGAATAAAAGTTGTTCAAACACTGAAGGCAACTGGAAACGCGACCCAGTTCTATGACATACACACATCGAAATTTATACGTCTTGCTTGAACGGTGTAAAATATACTAGCGAGAACACTTTTGTCCGTTTATAAACGTGATCCGTTTATGAACTTATAAAGTATGTCAATATGCTAGACACACTTGCAATGTAATTTTAAACGTAGAGGTTAATTAAATGCTTGATTAATGAACATAAACAAAAAACGAAAATCTCTTAATCAGCCTATTGAAATGTAGAAAAAGTGACTTCACACTTTGTGGTAGTGAGTTTTTTTTATAGACGCAAATAGGGTTAAAATCCTTTTCCATACGAATGATAGCAATGGAAACTTAAATAGAAGTAAGACGCAAAGAATCTGAACATTATAATTACAATAAGCATGTGTCGGGTCGCCGGCGGCGGGAGTGCAGCTGTCCCCGCCGGATACGAAGGGTCACCGCTTAACTAATACCTCATTTGATCGCCACCACCTACTCTTAACGAGTGATTCAGTTTTTCCTGACAGATGTCACTCGTCTTCAATTAAGCTCTATGAATGAAAAGACAATTTGCATGGACGAACAATGGGGTATTTGCATAGGAACTTATACAAGAGTCTCTATGACGAACAATGATTATTGTCGGTCGATGGAAATCAATATGAGAAATCCGACGTTTCTCAACGCTAAGCGATGCGCCACAAAAAGCGAACGCTTTTTACATCACTTTTTAATAGTCGAGATCTCAATTAAACTTTCGTTACGTCGCATCGTGGGTTTTGTCGAATTTATAATAAGTTACGTTAAATACTTAGACAATACAAGCGGACATGTTATCGATTCTCTTTGAATACTAAACACTTGATGGCCGTCGTGTGAATGAATTCGAACCTTAAAATGATACATAATAATTAAGAACAATGTTTAAAAATCGATTAACTGAACATTTATAAAAAGCGAGAGACGTTTATCTAAACAATTTATTATGATTTGTGTTGCGTACACCCGATCAAATATGGCAAGTCGTAGTATACGCTGTATTGATTTGTTAATCGAGTATGGAGAACGCATTTCGGTCAGCTGTGGCCGGTCGTAAGTATATGCCGGTTCCCACGACAGTGACTCTCGAGCCAGCCCATAAAAAGCGGCCGACGTAAGCGTACGTGTGCAGGTAGCCTTTATAAACGTGTCGAGCTGGCGATACCGTAAACATATACGACTAGTTGCTGCGACTTGTTGCCTAGACTCCGACGGCAATTAAGGAAATGTTAGTCCACGAAACATTTCGCTTTATTTCTTTGATGTTAATTCCAAGCGTTGACAAATTTTTCAATTGTTACAACTCGATTCAGATTGTATTCAAATTCTAAAACATCGGGGATTTTAATTAACCAAAGCGTTTTATGTGAGCGTGGTATTTTTATTATTTAAAACCTAATATCAGGTGGAGATCGCACCGTATCGAGATTTAAGATACATTAATTGTATCCCTCGAGAGCGATGCGTTAAATTGTATTACGAAGATGAAAGAAGTAATGGAATACCACAACATGAATGGTCGAGGATTATTTGATAATCGTTTAATAGGGGTGTGCCTAAAGATGCTACTTGCTCGGACCTCGTTCCAATGTTATTTCGTTATTAATTAGAAAATCCAACGAAAGGATACGTGGGAAAGGACGGCTTCGATCTTTTGTGGATTTTATTTGTTAACGCCATGTGTTCGAGATTTTGAGAACAAAAGGTATAATCAGGTGACCATTCAGTTTCACTTCTTTGACCAAATGTTTGGGTCACTATTGTTCGGTTTATTGTTTTGTTCGTTGCCATTCAAAAATGGCAACAGATGTTTCTCTTGTTTATTAGTTTTGGTTACAGCTTATTATAAAGCTTTTTTAAGATAAACAAAGCTTTGAAGGTGACTAACGAGTTTCTCATCGAAGTTCTCACCATAAACAGTGCTTGGTACCGATTCAAATAAAATGGAACAAGGTCATACTACCATCGGTTTTGGTAAATAGTGGCACAGAATCGGAAAATATTTATATGAAACATCACAAAAAGACATTACCGTAGTCGGTTTTCGAGTATCATTTCGACACGAAAAAGTATTTGGAACACAAACACAAGAGCAAGTGGAAGAGTCGTGATTTCATATTTCACACTTTGCCGTGTGGTAACATCGCTATGGACAGGTTTTTTTTTTCACTTATATACCCCGACAAATTTGTATTTCGGCCAGTGTCTTAAAATCGATTGTTACCGCACCGCAATAAGGTTCGGTATTGGATGCATTTTCGTCCTTTGTGTACATCAATGTTGTCGTTTCTTGATATATGTAGGCAGACTTGGAGAGTTACCTTTGCCTCGTACAACACGTCAAATTAAAATTAAATGCAAAAAAAGTCTGGCAGATAAAAATAACTTGTTTTATTACTGTCAATGTCTCGAGCAAATTTATTTATTTATATTTTTAACTAACTTTATTTTCTTTTGTCATAATATTATGGCAAGATGCAATAACTTGGTGAGTCATATTCTAAAATTAGATTTAGGTACTTAGTTTTACAAAACATTAATCGCAAGCAGATTGTGTAATACAACCGTGTGAACAGGTAACTTCCTGTACAAATATTCTCTAACAAAAAATCCAGGTCGACAGTTTATTGGCGACATGGAGCACATACATGCATTCTGTTAGAATGTTAAGCAGTTTCGTGTTAAAGTCAAGTAACTGATCGAGGTACCGAGCCTCTCCATTGCTATACAATCGTGTCGCCGTGTCTCCGGCAATGTTTAGCTTGTGTGACGCACTTTCAAACACAGCCGGTTAATCTCTGTTGGTGTAAGAACACGTCTGTAAACGCATATAGACAAAAGCGAGACGTTCTCAAAGCAACTGACGACCTCGTGGTTCATGTGAACCTACAAAGTTCCAAATTCAAATTGTTTAACGAGAGAAATCTTTTGTTTGCGTTCAGAATATTTAAAGTAATAAGCTTTAAAAGAAGAATTAATAAGATAGCACCTATTTATAAAATTTATTTAGTTTGATAGTGTTAGAATTTGTGATTTTAGCACACGAAACCTTAAAATCAGCCATTATAATCTTCATAAATTAAGTTCACTTTACGGCAATTACTTATTAAAAAATGCAGAAAGTTTTACTTTATAAATTATATTTGTCCTGAAGTGCGTTAATTAACTAATCTGTGTGTACGACATAATATGTTAAACTAACTACGAGCGTTAAACATTTTCACACGTCAATCATAAATAATAACCATTAAATTGATGCTATAATAAAGTTCCAATGTTGTGGCAGTAAATCCGAGAAAGTAAACACCCATCTGACCACATGGAAAAATTAACCGAGAGTTTAGTGCATTATGAAAGCCAAGCCCGCTTTACCGGGAAACATTAAAAAGTTGAAAAGTCAGTCGTAACTTAAACTTAATGTTATATTTTATATCTGTGACGATTATTTTACGAAACATAGCTAGGAAACATTAAGTCAGAAGTAACAACTTTTTTTACTGGTAACCGGTTCGCTCCGTATACGAGACACGAAATAAGTCAGACATTAACAATTTATTGCCCTCAATTACAATCATCGCGAAAAAAGACACTCGGAAAAGGAATTTGGGACTGTGAATCGGGGCCGAAGTGAAAAAGGGTACCTTTAATTTTCACATAGCATCGATGGTATTCGCCCGACAGGCCTGCCTGGACCCGCCGATGAAGAATTCCAAAAATGAAAATGTCGACCATAAACAAGAGAACGATTTGAATGAAGAACAAGAATAAAAAAATAAAAAATCGGGTTAACAAATTTTGTGAGACATCTACGGCCTCTACGGTGATCTGATAAGGCTCTGAGAAGGGTAAGACGATGAAACCGAAACCGCATCAAAAACAAACAATCTCGTGATCGGTTCATCCGGATTTAATCCGAGGATGACG